AGGCAGCTGGAGGGGATGCAAACCGGGTGGCTAAATTCCTGCAACCCATTTCTGGGCAGACTCCACACCCGGTATTTTACAGATACAATGGGCTGTATCTGTGGGAATTCACCCAAACCAGAGGAAACAGTCACCAGTTTTGGTTCTTGTTCTTTGGTTCTTCACATCTTTTCTTTGTGCATGTTCTGTGCTGTGCCCCCTTGGTCTCTGTCCTTACCACGACAGAGTCTCACTTTATGGAGAATGTGGTACTGCCTACACGGAGGTGTAGGGGAGGCAGTCTCTCCCCTCATTCCCTTTTGTCCCTGTGGGAAGGCAGGGCTGGTCGCCTGTGCCGCCTGAAAGGTTACTGTTGGCTGGTTATGACTATGGTAAGATCCATTGTGAATCACAAAGATAAGTAAAATTAAACATGAATGATACTGAGATGGGTTTGGACTGAAGGTTCTTTGAAATGTGGTACTTCCTAAAGCTTTAAAGTGAGTATCAGTATTGCAAAACGTGAATGCTTTTTGTTTTGCGTATTTTGCAATTTGTTTTCATTACTGGAGAATACGTTTACCATAAGCATTTGAATATATTTTTCTTTATTCAGCAAGTTTTCAGCATAAGTTTCCATTTGTATTACCACTCTCCTTATTCGTTTCCTCATGTTTACCATCGTTTTCAAATGTCATTGAAATCTGTATTATTTAGCCTCTGTGGGTGTGCGTCTGATCCCTCAGACTTTCTGCTAACCGGCTCCCGTTGGCTTTGGTGGGAAATCTCTCTAGAGAAGACTTGCAGAGACCAGCCGTATAATTGAACCCATCTACCTCCCTCATGAAAGACTCCTGTCCAATGCTCAGTCCTTACGAAAACTTCTCAAAACAAATTGAGTAAAAGAAGAAGCAGAGCTGAAGGAGACCACCCAAAGTACTAGAACCAAACAGGCATTATCCCGCTCCTTTTGCTTTATTCCAGAACTTGTGTCCATACTCCCACATCTAGGAAGAGGAAAAAATACCACAGTTATGAATAATTGCCAGAGATCTTCTATAATAACAATTTTTTTTAAAAATTGTCAAAAAGAGATGTTTGTGACAACCTTCTCTGTAGCAGCCATCCCCATAGGAAGGAGGCAAAGGGCTCTCCCTTTTGTGGTGTTGATCTCCAGTAATTTGGTCTTAATCTGTTTTAACAAAGCAGTCACATTGCAGTAGAACTTGCTGTTGTCGATGTTAGATTGTTCCCACATGTTCTGTCTAACATCTGCTTGGTGTGAGAAGCCAAAATTTCTCTTTTTTTCTGTAGGCATTCAGAGCCATTTACTTCATAAGGCAATGTCAGGATGAATGACAGGAAATTAAAGTTGAATTATTTAGCTTTGGAAAAGTGTACAGAACAATGCGTTACTAAAGAATGCCCAATTGAAGAAACTAAACAAAAGTAACTGCAGGTGGTCTAATCTGTCCGCTGTGTACATGGCCACAACTTCCCGTTCATAGAGAAGGTGAAGATGCCAGCTCGGAGCAGCAAATGTCGCCGCTTGGTCCGGTGTCCGTTGTGCAGGTTTTTGACGCTGATAACAGGACTTAGATAACCCAGTGACTGCATGGCTTCGGTTACAATGGGAGTTTGTCAGAGAAGGCTTTAAAACAGCTGAGAGGAAGTTTTGGCAAGAACGCTGTCACACAAACATGGGTTTTAAACAGTTGTAAGTTGTCAGTGATTTATCTCTATGGGTTCTGTTCAACAGCAAGCATGGATGCTCAGAGGCGCGTTCCCAGGGAACTGAGGGAAAACGTGGTTGGCTTTCCAGGCACAAAGCTGTAACAGTGAGAGGGTACTGAAAGATTATAAAGCACTGGTTCCCAGTGGTTTTGACGAGCAGTTAAGCCACCCTCACCATTTATTGTGGTCATGGACTACGCCCAAACTTTGGGCACTGTTGACAACAGCTCTGTGGAAGAGCTTCAGACCACCTTCCATCCGTTGGAGGAGCACAGTCAGACCAGAGCACTTGAGGAGCTGGTGTCACAGGAATGGCAGGGACAAAAAGGGGTAAATGCAGGCTACCAATTATTTAGTAAATATTATTCCAGGTGTAGTCAGCATCCAGTACATCAGAACAGGGGTGGAGTCATGAAGAGCTGGGAATGTCCCCCAATTTGGGTAGGAAAAGAGAAGGTACCAGTCTCCATTTCTTTTTTTTTTTTTTCCTCTGTAGTAGTCAAAGTCAGCAGTCTTCAGTCCTTTTTTTGCTGCTGAATGCTAGTCATTGGTTATACCCAGCTTAGAAGTGGCACTAGGAGGATTACTGCAAAACTGTAGAATCTGAAACAATATGATTTTTTTCAGGAAAATTCCTTTCTAATGCCTGCAAAACTGCTGACTGCTTAACTCATCGCACAAGAAAACAGATAGCGATTATGGGGAAGGATGGGATGGGGAGCGCCGACGAAAAAATATTAAACCAAATTTTAGCTGAATAGTTTGCAGCAAAGTTGTGTGTGCTATTAAATAGGATTACTGCCGCTGAGGACAGTGGTCAGGGAGGTGATGTTTGGAGGGATGTCTCCTTAGAGCTAAGCGTTGCCTCTTCACCTCAAGCCTCTCCTAGCTCAGCTGTTCCTGCGCTGTGTTTTATGGTGGGTACGTATTCTGTGGCGGCTGCTGCTGCTAGGACCGGTGTTTTCGATGGCATCTGTACAGTCTTCCTGAGAGGTCTTGGCTCTCCCCCAGCCGACTGCGTGCCCGTACGAGTGGAAGCGCAGAGGTCCTTGCTGTTCTCCGACCGGTCTCTGCACAGAACCTACTCTTTGCCTCTGGGGGAATGGGGCAGAGGCTGGCCCGCGGAGGTGATCGACGCCACTTGGAACGCGGTGCGAAGGAAGTTTAACTTAACTTTTGCCAGACCGTAGCTTGATTTATGTGTGAGGCTTAATTTCACTGTTACCAGACCTTTTCGCTTTCCATTTCTTTTCGATGCTGTCATGGGAGAAACAGCCCTCACCACAAAGCTAGAAGTATCCTCGTCCTATGTGATGAAGAGGGCCAGTCCCAATGGATTTCTGTTTTTTCTAAATGCCAGTGTATGATGCTCTCAGGTAGAACGGTATCTAATTGCTCCTTTTGATTCTTTAAGTTTCTGAAAGTCTGATGTAAATGGTAAGTATTCTCTACTAACTGAATATAGGTGGTTAATTAGTAGTAGTAGTAACAGTAAATAGGAGTGAATTGCTGTCTATACTTATGATGTCCTTCTCCTTTTAATATATGCAGTTTCCAGAATGTCAGCTGGGTGTGCGTGTGTTTGCAGTTCATCTTGTCTGGAAGTTTTGTGAACTACTTCCCTCTTGAAAAATTAAAATATGGCATGACAGTATTCTGTGAAAGACAATTTCTGAAATATACTGGAGCATTAAATTTACACTGATCGAGCTACATTTGTTTAGTTTTTGCATTAGTTCGTTCCCGTCTTCAAAGAGAAAAAAATTACCTGGTGAAGTTTCAGGGCAGATAACCTCCCCTTTATATATTTTATGAAATGGGAAAAAGAAATTCTGAGCTGTATGTAGTTTGACAGAAATCTAGAAGTTACCAATAACTCATAGAAATGCTGTGTACTTGGGCGTGCCTTGCTGAGTGCCTTGAGAGGGAGACCTCCCGCGTCTGTTGGACACCAAAAGGGCCTTTTGATAGGAATGCCAAGGAGATGGGCGGCAGTGATTCATCTGGAAATAGCCATCCTCATTTACCCCTCCAAACCACCTCAGATAACTCACTCGAATGACAGATGCCAGAAATTAGTGGAAAACCGATAACGTAAATAATGTAGATGTTTCTAAGAAGCCCAAATTTCTAGATGAGTTTTTACCTCCCGTATGATACGGTGCAAGGTGTTTTGCGAATATCTGTGGTGAATGATGTATGTATTAAAAGACAGCAAATATTCACTCCATTCAGACTTTGGGAACTTACTTCACATTAGTCAAATAGACATTGCAACAGAATATATATAGAAGTAACATTAAGCTGTGAAATCTATTTTTTTTGTAATTATAAGGGTTTTGTTTTGGTTGCAATACTGTTGTATCAGTTCCTTTAAACAAATATCTGACAGGTAGCATATACTTTACCCTATATAATTCTTTCCCTAATTTTTTTGTTGTTGTTGTAGACTGAGGTAATGAGCAGCTTTCCTTTTCCCTTTATTGAAAAGATGCGAATCTTTCACATAGTAGGATTTAGCAAGATAAGATGTGACGTGGGGGATCGCTGGCAGGAAATCCCACTTTTTCCAAGTGGGGTGGAAAAAAAAAAAAAGATAATTAAACTAATTGCACAGATGAAAAGAACTGGGATGTATACCGGAAAAAAGGCAATGACTGATTGAAACTGATAGGTGATGTGTTCTGAAAGATAACATTTAGCTGAGAGAGTCTAAGACAAAATATATAGTACCATTAAATCAGTGTCAATGTTTTATATGAAGTAGCATTAGCAGGTTATTTTCAGGTCCACCTTCCTGCATGCTTTTGCTCTCAGCATCATGTGCAAACTGTATGATTTAAAGCATTCCGTGTTGACATTTGGTTGAATTTGATGTTTCCTGGTAGGATAAAAAACCCCAAACAACCAAAGAACAGCTTCTTGCTCTAAAGCCAGTCTCTGCTTGTGAATGAGTTGAAACTGGAAGGCTGTTCTGAACCGAAGGGTACGGTGGTGCAGCGGCGTTCCAACCTTTTCAGTAAAAGTCATTTGTTATTCTTAAGAAAATATAAACAGCTGGCTTATACGGTCTGTAAGCAGTGGCAAATCATATGGCAAATCATAAACCTGTGCTTTTCACAGATGGCCATTTTGCGTGTTCAGAGGCAGTGCAGTGATGTACTGCTTTCCCTGTTTGAGGTGGCAGTGAGCAACCTCATCTCTCAGATGCAAATAAAACACAACATGTATAAAAGTGAATTATTTTAGCATAAATACAGAAATGAAACCCATGTTTTTGTTTTCAGATTTAACAAATCAAGTAGAGACAATTGGACTGAAGCTGCAGAAAGTAACAGCCGAGATGGACCACTACAAAAAGCTGTTAATGTAAGATTTCCATTTGCTTGATTGTTCAGGCACTGCGCGTAAAGCTGTGACAGATCACTTTTCTTTCAGAGCGCGCTGCTTGTCGTGATGATTTGAGAAGGTTATGACCAAGAGAGAAAATATTTTATCTTCATATTAAATAGTCTGTATTGCTAACCACCTGAGTGAGCATGCCTGTCTGTGGAAGCAGGGCTTTCTTCCTCCAGCGGGATTTAATGGTACAGCAAAGAGGAGGGCTAAATCAGCTCAATCTGACACTTCATTTACCACGCAAGTGTAGGATACGTTTTGTGAAATCCACGTAACTTCTGGACTAAAAATGTATGTGGAAAGTAGTATTTCACATTGTAGGTTTGGGATGGAGGGAAGGGTGCAATAAAACCGATCAGAAGTATTTATTAATTAGTATTTAATCAGTGACTACGACTTCTTTTTTTTTATTCACCCTCCCCTGCCCCCCGCAATGTAAATTTGCTGTGACTTGTCCCCACGCACCAGTATGCTCTTGCGGCTTGTAATTTTGCTGTGTTGTGCCTATGGTTTCAAGTAAGAGTATGTAAAACCGAAATTGATAGAGCAGAAATAGAATGTCATCACGTACTTGTCGGAGCTAACAGAAGCACGACGACTGAAAAGAGAGCAGTCGCGCGGAGTGAAGAACTGGGCTGGCTCCATCTCCAGCCCAGCCAAAGGAGCGGTGCCTGCCCAGCCCCGGGCACTGCTCTGCTCCATTTATCCGCTTTCAGACACCTCTGGGTTAAGGGGAGAGCAGAAAGGAGTCCTCTATCCAAACTTGAGGAAGGAAGAAAAAAGATGGCACTACTTCCTAAGTGGTGGTGCGTGCCGTTGCAGGCTCTTCTCCTGCGTTCCTGTTGCGATGGCCAAGGAAGGGCCCTGCCGCGGGGTTGCCACGTTCCCCGCGCCCCGAGGCTGCTCTCCGTTGCCTTACGTGGGAGCTGTACCGGGCACCCAAAATTGGGCCAGGCCACCTCCAGGGGTCCCGTCCAGACGTAGCGATGCTCACTGGGACCTGTGTCGTCACCTCTGCAAGCTGCGGGATCCGGGATCTGAATGCTTTCCTGTATTTAAAAATCCTCGTTGCTTGCATGTAGCCTGGAAAATCATTTGGAAACAGCAGCACTTTATAATTCACTACTGAAAATAAAAATGACTGTTTCAAATATTAAGCTCAAGAGTACTGAACTAGTACTGCCAGTCTCGAGACCAGCTATCATCGGTCTTTTTGTGTGTTTCCCTGAAATTTAAACAAGGATTCGTTCTTCTATGATGTGCACTTTCTGGTTTCAGTTCCTATATTCAGAAGATCTGATCCTAAGGAAGTTGCAAATATTTGGAATGCTTAGCAACAAAGTATTTCAATGATAATACAAGTATTGAGCATGAAAAAAAAAATTTCATGAACACAGTTAAATAAACAGTAAAGGGTTTCCAAATGTAATATTAAAGTTTCAATGTAATGCGGGTACAATTTAATAAAATAACATATTCTATATCTGTTTAAATGTAAATATGAAGCTTAACCATGGTTATTAATTGGTGAAATGATGACATAATGACAAGAAACCTGCAAAGTTTCCAGCCCTCTTACCTACTAAGTTGTTATTTGTTCAGTTTTATTCATATCTTACTTGAAACCTTCATGCGTGTTGCAAGATGTCACTTTCTTCTTTGCAACATTGAACTTGTGATCTTAGGTTAGGCTGAGATTACATTGGAAGTGTAACTTCCAATTACTTAAAAATGTTAGCTAGAACTGAAAGAGCTTTTTGGTGGTTGTCTGCCTTTTAACTGAAATAGAAAATGCAAGCTAGGTAATGCATCAATAAACGGTGTTCAGGTTACTGCATGAGTAAAGGCTGTCATTTCTTTGGACAATACACTTTTTTTTTTATGTTTCTTAGGGTGAAATCAGCAGAACTTGATGTCTGTCAAAATGAACTGAAAAAAATGAAATACGAAAATGGAATTTCTGAGTCAAGGTAAATGCTGAAATTATATTTCATAGCATAACATACATTTCTAAGCAGTGAGAACAACAGTGATTTTAATGCATTTTTTTATGCAATCATTTTTTCTATTTTGTTCAAGTCACCAGATTTTATTTTGTAAAGAATACATAGGTATTTGTCTAATATTTTATTTTTCAGGTACAAAATATTTGTCTATTTAGTTTCTGTCTGTAAATAAGAACGTAGTAACTACAGTGCTGATACTTTTTAAATTTCATCTGTAGACTTACGAAAGAGCTCAAGGAAAAGGACGAATCTCTTCTAATTTGCCAACAAGTATGCAAACATTTACAGGAAGAAGTGGCTGAGAAAGAAAGGAAAGAAGAAGATCTAAAAAGAAGAACTGGTCGATCAGAAAGTGAGCTGGAAGCACTGAAAGCCCTTCTCAGACAAACAGAGGAAGAAGTGGTGATGTTGAAACAAGAAAGGTAACGGGAGCCGAGTCAGCGTGGGTGGTCAGTCTCCCGTGGCTGTACGTTCAGCCCAGATTGTCTTTTTGGGGAATCTGTTAAAAATCAAACATTCCTCCTCTGCCAGATCCTCAGCCTCTCTCACGGTTACCGAAAGGACGGATAGATTCTGTAAAGCACGGGCGGTGGTCGTGCCGGTCGGGCTGCAGGAGGAGAGGTGGCAGACCGAGGAGAGTGGCTGTGGCACTGGGCAGACTGGGAGAGACCTGCGGGTCCCAGCTCTGTGCTCCGAAGTTGCTGCCCTGCCTGTGTGCTCAGGACAGTCCTGCCCTGCCACTGCCCCCTCTCTCGTCTCCTGCTTTGAGGGCAAAACTCTAAAAGCCTTGGCAGCCCTGAGCTCATACCCTGAAATTTTGGAAGTCATCGGGTGGGGTTTTTAAATGATTACAGTATAGGTAGAACTTGAATGAAAAAAAGAAAAAAATCCTATTAAAAAAAGGAGACAAGAAGCCATACTTTGCAGTCCAGGGCTTTAGCTCAAGCTTAAGCAAAACACCCATTCATCGCAGCTGTTATAGCTGCTATTTGTTATGTGAGCTTGTAGAGCAAGAGCCCTGGAGAGTTTAAATTCTTGTGACTTATGTTATTAGCAACTTGCAAACCGTAACAAGGCTATAAATATTACAAGGTACCAGGTTATTGGATATGGTGTAGTATTTGGTGAAGTGTATGGACAGCTTCCTGCCAGTCTAATCTTATTTTGAAGGTTCTCAGATGTCAATGAGGCTGCCGTTTTCCCTGTAATTACTTTTCAGATGTGGAAAATAAAGCACTGAGCTTCTAAGGATTGTCTTTCCTGGAAGTGCCTTGAGTTTAGACTTCTGCACTTACTAACCGAAATCCACACTTTTTAAAGTTGCTTTGAGTGTAATCTACATATCCAGTTTTATTCCTAACAACCACAGGCTTGTTTTAGTATTTAAGTGCCCTGCTAATAGATTTTCAGTTACTGATAAATTAGCTTGTCTTTTGTTGGCGAAATAGAAAGTACTGTCCCCTACTTAAGACGTGGCAGTATGTTACTTGTTTGATTTATGTAAAATGGAAAATGTATTCAGAAAAGTGGCTTTGGAGAAGATAAGCATTTTCTGAGAGTGATGTACACCAAGAGGCATTAAGCTATTTTCATATTTAAAGGGTTTGAATATTGCCTGTACTTAGTACCTGCATGAAAAGATACTACATGTTAATTTAAGAATATTTCCCTTCTGCTGAAAACCCTGATACGTGAGTTGTTCCAGTCGGTACATTGCTAATAATCTAAGTTAAAAGAATTTAAATTCTCCAGGGCTTTTGCTCTACAAGCCTCACATAACAAACAGTAACTCTAACGATAGAAAGCCCTCGGGGGTTTTAATTCAAAACCTATTACAATTTTTTTAATTAATGATAGTAATATTCAAGTTAATTAAATACAACAGTTTCTGTTTTGAATATTGTAACAGTTTTTCAGTGTTCTTGAGAAATACTAAAAATATTTGACATTTAAATATGTGTGTGTGGAAGAAAGATCAACTATGGCATGTTCTTTAAAACGTAAAATTCATAAAGCATGTGATGGCATTATGCAAATGCTAAGTAGTGATTACTGGTGTGGCTCCAGGCTCCAGGCAGGATTCCTGGGCTTATTGCACAGAATCCTAAACAAAGAGGAAAAGACGAGCCTTTGCCACAAAGGACTTAATTGCAAGAAAATGGCATACCACCAATCTGGGCAGAGCATGTATTTACATACGAGTTTTTGTGGTTTCTAGGGAGTTAATGCTGATTTCTCATCAGAACAGAACAGAGCAGCTGCAGGAAACATTAAGACAGAAGATGCGGAATGAAGATAACTGGAGGGAGAAGGTAATACTGGATGTGCAGTTGGCACCCTTTCGATTTCTTCTTTTTTTTTATCTTTCGGTTGTAGTCAGCTGTCACGACTGAGTACAGTAAGCCAGATACCTGTCTCCTCAAGTGCAAACATGTCAATTGTATTCTTTGTACAAGAGGTTTTAATGGGTGATCTCCTTACGTAGGTTGGAACTAAATGCACAAGGTATTTAGTGTTTACAGACTTGGCAGATGTTCTTCCCAGGTTTCAGGGTACTTGTGAAGTGCAGTCCCCTGAAAGCCCGGGTGTGAGGAGCAGGACGGAGCCCACTGGACCTCTGATCTTCCAAGCTCCGTGCTGTCCCCGTGTGCTCTGCAGGAGGGGCTGCAGCAGGAAAAACCCGCTCTCACGGACCGTTGTCCTACCCAAGCCCCGAGGAGGTGAACGTACAGAGCCTACCCTGTTCTGGGTGCAGCAGTCCGGGTTATGAGCTCTGAACCATGAATCTGCATGGGGAAGCACATCAGTGCCTGGGTTTGTTTCCTGACACATCTGGCAGAGAAGTATAGGAAAGCCTATATTTAATATTGAAGTAGTTTCCCAGTAAAAACGAGGCTGGGCATTGTTGACGAGATGGAGAGAACGCAGAGCCTTCCTGCTTGCAGGCTAGGTGAACGGAAACTGAAGATTGTGATTTGGGAAACAAATCTAGAAAATAAATAATAAGCAGATGAACAAAAATGTCCTCTCCTTAGAAGACAGGTATTTGCAAACCAAAGCAGAACTAAGCAAACAAGCTGCTGTAGCATAGCGATTCTGGAGCCATCGGGAGTTGTGGAATAGCAAACGGCAGCGGAGTCGTTAGCTGTGCATCTGACGAGGAAGGCGAGAGGTGTGTGGATACCCTGCCCGGTACTTAGGGCAGCTACGAATGCAGGATAGCTATTCCTGTCATCCCTGGGACGATTCTGTCACTCATGGCAGTAGGCAAGTGACAGTTTTATCCTTTCCAAGTCCTCTGGGAACATGAAATTTGTTGTTGTTTTGATATGAACCCATAGTTCTCGCTGCTCTCTGGGTGCACGGGGAGTGGGTGGAGGAGTGTGGTTAGTGTGGGGAATTGGGAAGGGAGATGTGGTAGCAGAAAGAAGGCGTGTGGCTCATCCGTTCATTTGAGCTGGGGGTCCTCACAGTAAAGAAAGAGCAAACGGAGTCGCACAGTGACAGTCCTGGAGCTAGAAGGGACCTCTGGGGTGGGAAAGGCTTCTGCTCTTGCTGCTGGTCCGTGCCATCACCGGTTCCTTTCGGGCAGTCGCATCTCTCCCAAATAGGCTCCTGCTAATGACTCTGCTGGGTTTTTTTTACTTGCATTCCCTTCAAATCGGAGCAGTATGAAAATAAAGACTTCAGTGAAATTTATTCTGAAAATACCTCTGTATTTCATTCAAAAAGACTTGACGCTCCTAGGACTTGGCTTCTCTGTGAAACAGCCCATCCTTTGTTATTTTATTCATCGACTCTTACGAAAGCCTGCAAAGCCCCTTTCATACGCCTTCCCACCGAGGCTCTTTCGGTAATTGCAGGGTGGTTCCTTTCATGGTGAGGAGGAAGGTGGGAGGGAGAATGATACACCTTCCATACATGCATGCCTCTTTATACATGCCCATTTTTCCTTTATTTAATGGAGTGAAGGAAAAAAAGAAATGAAGTAAAGGCTAGAGATGAGAAGGGTGGTTAAAATACAGCCAGGAGGACACCCTGAGTTCAGGGACTAACTGGCTTGGTTGGGGAACAGAGGGCGGGAACGAGGTTAGGTCTAGTCCTGGTCCATGGATTTAGGATGCAACATTACGAAAATAGCTCCGACAGAAAATATGGGCCACGCACCCGCCCTCAAAGCACCTCGCCGCGGCCGTGCCCGTCCTGTACGCGTTGCACAGGTCTGTTCCACAAGCACAAACTCCTCCTGTTAACGTCTGTTTTCTTGTTAGAAGGGTTTCCCACTGCTAGTCGCGTCTTTAATTGGTATTATTACATTCTACAAAGTCAGGTTAGAATTTGTTAGTCGTCTTTTAGTATTTACTTGGGTATGGGGTCTTCTGTGGAAAAATATTTTCAGCCGATTCAAAAAAATGTATGCATCTGCCCAGTGTGTGTGCTAATTGGATCGGTTTCTTAGCTAATGGCACGGCTGGGTGGGCTGTGGCCATGCTGCCGCACCCCCTTTATACGGGGCTTTGAGCAGCGTGGCCGGGTACCAGCGATGGGGGGAATCGGGACCTTTGGCTCTGCCCTGGGGCACAGATCGCTTGTTCTTGGCGTGTGGGGTCAGGCCGTGACGGGCTGAGCGGGGGGCTCTGACGGGGACTGGGGAGCCCAGCTGCCGCGCTCTGCCGGGGGGGTTGGAAAGCTGTTTCCCATAAACAACTGTCAGCATGTAAACTTGGTTTGAATCTGCAAATTTTTGACATGAGCACAAAAAAACCCCAAACTGAATATAAGAAATTAAATTTAAAAAAAAAAAAAATCTGTGAAGGAAAAATTGAAAATAGTGTTGAACAATGACTCTTGGCTTTTCTCATTTAAGCTGTACATAATTGGTGACCAAAACTGCTGTCTTTTTCTTTTGTGGTTCAGTACGTGAGAAGTGTCTGAAAGCTTTATTTAGTCTCAGGAAAATTTTCGGACTACTAGCAATTAAGATCAGTTACATTTCTTTTAAAACTTCTTAACCTCTCTGTCGCGGGGTATAATTTTAGAATGAGGTCAGACTGTCTGCATAATCACAATGTATTGTTCAGCCTGACATTAAAGCAAGATAAAGCCTGCCACTAGTAAGAGAGAGCAATTACAGCTTTGGTGTCACAGCCATTAAAATGCAGTGAGTGGCAAGGGCTCTCAAAATGTTCTCATCGGACAAAAAAATCAGAAATGTGACAAAGTGACAAAGTTATCTTTTTCTTGGGTCAGTGTGCCATTGCATAAGTATAAAGTGTTCTAGTTTTCTATTTAAAATACAGATGAACCTTCAATTGTTTTAATGGAACAACAACAAAAAAATCTCTTTTACAGAAGATTTTAAGATTGATAGTAAACATTTGTTTTATGCATTTTTTTAATGTTAATTAACGAGGGGCATGTAAGTGGTTTTAAAGCAGTTAGTAGCCGTTATGCTTTCTTTGAAGATCAGCTGCCGTTTTATTTCCTGTTCTGGTTATCAGCTTTATTAGGTTCTAGTGTTAAATGTGAAAAATGCTTGTATAATCTTCAAAATGAGCTCCGTTTTTTATACTGCCTTTATTTTTTTAGTCTTTGTAATCAAGTAGCTGCCAACATGTGGTCTGCTTCTATAGTAATATGTAGAGTTAATAAATTTGTTTTTCTACAGTTAGAATCCTAACTCCCATATCCAATAATGTAGAAGATATATCTATAATAATAATAATGACAATAATAATGGTCTACTTTGAGGATCTTACAAATATACCAGTTTTCAGCTAAACTTTTGTGGGAGATTTGTGCCTATTCCATGCCCAGAATTGGGTATATTTTGATTTAAAAAATAATGAAAATATTTCCAGTTTATCTTTTCCCCAAAGAGAGTTTGGGGGATTTGTTATACTTTTGCTCATAATTAGTGTGTGAAATTAGATAATTAAGCTCATTCTGGGCTTTTCTGCTTTTAATAATTTTAAGTAATTAGGCTTGTGCATGTTTAATGTGCCTTTCATATTCTTTCAGCGTGCTACAATTAAGTCCATTAGAATTCAGCCTGCGGAAATACAATATTAGCATATTGGTTTAGGAAAAATGTTTTTCAAAACACAGCCTTCAGTATTTGCTCCAGAGTCTGGGCTTTTATTTTCAGGAAATTATGACTGAATTTTTAAATTTGAATTTATAATAGGAAATATGTGCGCTGCCTTAAGGACTGGGATGTTTTACCCAGAATTTGCAGCGCGCTCAGTTGCGTTTCTCCGCTGGTTTTGTCCATGCATAGCGTCGGTGCAGGGCTCTCTGGACCCTAAAACGGGCTGGAGCTGCTCCTCACTGTCCTTGAGCCGTGGGGCCTCGCTGCTCCCCGGGACCCCAACTTGGCGATGGGACCAGCACGGCGACCGCGTGCCGTCGGCACCGGGCGGTGCTTGCGGAGGCAGGCGTCCTGCTCGTGCCTTGCTGAGAGGTTCTGTGGAGATTCCCGTATATGCTCCTTCCCCGGGATTGCTGGTGTTCACAACAGATGTAGGAGAAGGAAGGCATGTGATAAAATAGATATGCGGTGCTAACGTGCGCTGCGCTTCTAAATTGCGAGACACCACGGATGGAGTTACGTGTCATCCGAGTGTGGTCCCTGGGAGCAGGCAAACCTTTTGTATCATAAATTTCTATTCCCTGACAAGGCTGAGTGGCAGAGCATGAATAAAAAATGATTTTTATAAGAAAGAGTTAACATCTTTATATTTTAATATTGAGCTTACGACCTATTTTTAGCACAGTAGATGTTGTTTACTGTGAAATGTGTCATTTTCCTGCATTTGAAAATAATAACGAGCTGAGCGTTACCTCCAGAGCAAATGCTTCCAGCAAAGTAATCATCTATTTTAAGAACCAGCTAAGTATTTTGTAATTTAGTGTTTTCATAGTGATTTAGCATGAAGTTCAGCTGCTTAAATTTAGGCATCTTGCACCACTTGAGACACCGTGGGGCTTGTGAGGCGTCTTTGGGGGCTGCCAGCCGTGCCTCAGCCCTGATGCTCTGCGGAGCGGGAGCCGACCGTGCCACCGCGAGCCCGCGGGAAGCGGGACCTTGCCATCGCCAGGCTTCGACGGTTGCAATCAGTTGGATGTGTTTGTTCGGCACCCAAAGTCTCATCATCCCAAATTTCACATCACTTCACTTAAGGCAGTGTGGAATGTGAAAAATATTTTAAGATGAGTTGCTACACATTGTTAAATACGCTTGTTCCTTAGATGGAAATTGGTCTGGCTAAAGGTGAAGCACGACACAAAGAAGCAATTCTTAAAGTCAAGGAAGAAGCGAGAGTGGAACTAGACATTGAGAGACAAAAACAGCAAGAACTAATCACAAAATATCAGAGAGATCATGAAGAGCTTCAGAAGAAGGTGTGTAACACTCAAGAGAGTTTTGTGGCAGTAGATAATGTAAACTATTGAAAAATGGTATGTGAAGGAATAAAACCTTTTTTATGTGTAGTCCTGTATCTAGATGATCCAGTGTTTTTTCCCAGTCTTAGTATGTGGCATATGTATGGGGTTTTTTTTTAAATGGAACAGGCTAGAAAGTAACTATTCTAGATAAAGTTAAATGGTGTGGAAGTTCTTTCTTCTCTTGCATTTTCTCTACCCAGAGTTCATCCATGGCCCTAGACTGTAGTTGTTAATTATTTTTTAAACTGACGTCATCATTTTTTAAAAGCTTTGGACTATTTCAGAATATAACAAGTTGCCACAAAACCATCCACACTGTTTTTTCTCCATCGCAAATTAATTCAGCACCAATGGGGTAAAGTCCAGTGGGCAGTTAACTGCTGTGTTGGTGGTTGCATCCCATACGGTTGGCTGTTCCCAGCTACTCAGACCTACAGGTTTTGAAGTTCTATATAGAAATTGAAAATTGTACCTATAACCTTAGTTTTCAAAAGTTTTGACACATTTCTTGAGAATTCTGGAAAAATCAAAGAATTTTGATGAAATTATATCATTATTTTAAATTCGTTACATTACATAGTGTTTTAAAGAGCTGAAAATAACAGTTTGACTTAGTTCACAAATATTTGACTATGATTTTAAAACCCTGAAGAAATACTGGCTTGCAGTAAAGAAGTTAAGTTTTCCCATTTTTACCTCTATTTCTCTGGTTGATCTTGGATATGCTAATTAGTCTCTCTGTTCTGAGTGAGTTTTGATTAATTTATAGCTCTCTGATATCCTTTAAGGGTCTTATGTAAATTCAAAGCTTTTTTTTTTTTCTCTGAGAACATGTATGTTTGAATTTGCATTTTTTTCCTGAAGTCAACATTTGTCTGATACTTAATTCTACATATCTACAGTTATCCAATGAATGTAAACTAATGCAATTTTTGTCTAATCTATTGCAGATACCGGGTTTAATATCCAGTGCCACCAATAGCTTAAGGATGGAGACAGAAATTCTTGAAAAGAAGCTACAGGATGCCCAGATCAAACTTGCAGAGAAAGATGAAGATAAGGATAAAGAAATTCAGAACCTTAAAAGACTAATTACTGAACTTGAATTTCAGCTGACGATGGAAAAGAACAATAATGAATCAGTTGTGGATAATATGAGGAAAGAGATTAAACACAAGTCAGATGAACTGGAAAAATTAACCCAGGAGAGAACACAGCTGATTCACAATTTGAGTCAAGTTCAAGAGGAGGTAGGAACATGACCAAGGAAATGCCTTGCTATTTTTACTTGGAGACATGTGATTTCTAAAATCATTCAAAGCATCTATATTTCAGACCCTGTTATGTACTGGTTTAAAAACCATCGAAATTAAAAGATGTATAAAACAAGTCCATCGTAATTTCATAAATACAATATATCACAAAATATGTGAAATTCTTAATTCAGCAAGCACTTAAACCAGTGTTTTATTTTTTAAAAATTGTATTTTTCAGGTCCTGCAGGACATTTATTTCTTAGTCTCTAGCCTTACATCATGCCACATAAACATGCGTAAATAATAAAGCATTCTTCATGGTTTTTAAAGTAGAAGACGTGGACATTTCTCATTCTTGGAAGCAGACAGCAGCCTTCCTCCCAGTAATCTTATTTATTTCGGAAATCATTTGTAAGAAAAAACTTCATACTATTGGTAGGAATGAGAGCGGACACAGTCCTGTTCTGAATGGCTTCTGATTAAAAGATTACGTCTTTTAATGTGGGAGTATGTATGTGCATCCTGCCGTGCTCATGGGGATGTATCCCACCTCCCACCAGCAGAAAAGCCACTTCCTATAACACAGGAATGCATAAAAATTAATCAAATGTGAAGATAAATTTGACTGATATTCTTACCACAAGCATTTGCTGAATGTTTGGAATATAATGGGAAGGGATGAGAGAGCTGTACTGCTCTATGAGAAATGTGAAAACAGTGAAGTCAGGGACTGTAGATAAGATTAGACTGGAATGTCCAAAGTAATTAAGTGGCAGAAAAACATTGGTAAACAGTGAAAATAAGACTCTTCAAAATGAATTAGGGCTTGAGTTGATATTTATTTCTTCCTTGAAAAAGGTTCACAAGCACTGTGTTAGTGAAATTAGAATGACGTTGGCGTCGTTCTGTCCTGTACCTATGGAAAAGGCTCTTGGAACGACACGCACTCTTCAAGTATTGGTCAGGAACTTCAGCAGAGTAAGGAACACGTTGTTATCCTCCGTTGTGAGATTCCACCAGCTCTGCTTATGTTCTTAGTTTTCCCCACTCTGAAGCGGAGTTCCTCCTCTAACGTAATTATATTAGGAAATGAGGAGATAAGAGTGGTTGAAAATTGAAACTGGTTTTAAGATAAACTTTGCACCAGGATACTTTCTCAGATTTGCAGGTAACACTTCCCAAATAATTTCATGGACTATCAGTGACCATCTGAGTGGCAGGGAAAGTAAAATCTAACCTTCTTTCATTAAGTTGTCTGCAGAGTTACGTATTCAGAGAATAAGTTATTTTGGGTATTTCAATCTCTTCCAGTCCTACCTCTGCATGTAGTTATGTTCCTTCTCCAACAGCTCCTTCACTTGCAGTTGGCACAGAGGTTAGACAGCCTGAGCAGAACTTCTGTGTTTCCACGCTACATCCACCCCAGATGCTTTGACCAAAGTAAAATTTTAAAATCTAAAAAAAAAAAAAAAATCGTCAACAAAGGACTTTTCATTTCTCCATCATTTTTGAAGTTTTGGTGGGAACACACATGCAAAAAGGTAATAGTTTTAGTAACCTCTTCTTGGCTAAACAGAGCTTACCGCCTTCCACTTCAGTGGGAACAGACTTCTGTGCTCTGACTCTACTGGCACCAGTATTTGCTCTTCAGAACCTCAAAAAGTGCTATTGAGATTATCTTTCTTACACATTTTCTTCCCTGTATACACCCACTGTCATAATCACGTCGAGAATTTGAAGTGCAAATGTTTGTCCTCACTCCAAGGTGATACGTGACCTGACCCAGCATACAGCCCGTACTCTTAGTGCTAGAGGGTTACGTAGAAAAGTTTGTGTCCAGGCAGTGAGGTTGTGCGTGAGCGAGAGTGTTCTCTGTTTGAGTCGATCATCACTCTCTGTGGTGGAGACTGCCTTGGTGGTTGCGTCCCTTCCGTTCTCCTGGACCTCCTGGTGTCAGCGGCAGTTGCTTGCTCAGAAGAACAAAAAAGTGGGTGTTTTCTGCTTATGCTAGTACTTCCGCTAGTTCTGACTTTTATGACTCAGTTCAGTGATGTTGTCTCTTGTGTTTTACTTACTTTTTGTTTCAGCTGGAAACCAGGAAAATTAGCATCACAAACAAGTTACACATAACACACCAACCTGGGGACTTCTGTAACACTGAAAGAGTTTCAGTTGTCTGCTGGAGGCCCACTACCAGTCACTTACTGTTTAGCTATCAGGAATCACGGTGCGAAGTTTGTGGAAAGCACTAGACTGATAGTCATTTATCCTGATTATTTGGGAAATGATAAAGAACGCTGTCACCAAAAATCAGTGCACAACTATTTAAACTACAGAGGAGGATAACTTCTTGAACATCTTATCATAGTGAAGTGGCGCGGTACTGCTCAATCTCCATCTGTTGCTTTTCCCTTTCCAAGAGCAGCATTCCCAGTTTCCCCCTAGTTGGAGAATGGGCAGGAGATCAGAAGTAACTCCTGATAACTTACCTCATATTTTCCACTGTCTCCTGGGGGGACGAAGGGTGTGTAAATGCTGATGCGTGTCCTTTGAGTGACTTTCAGAGAAACCAAAACGTGGGGGAGTATTGAAGGATTTGCGTGCGTCGGTACCCTCCAGCCACCCCTGCCGTAAGGTGAAAAGGCACAGGTTTTGACTGGTGGCATTTTGTAAAGCCAGTGTTTGTTTCTGTTTGCAGAACACCCTTCTCCAGGAAACGGTGCGCAGAGAGTGTGAGGAACGCTATGAGCTGACTGCAGCTTTGACTCAAGCCAGGGAACAAGTACTGGAACTAAAAAAGCTCAGTGGAAACTTCCCGTTATCGCCGTGTTCCCTGACTCAGGGCAGCCTAACCTCCTCTGCCGCCCTGCTCGCTGATTACGGACAGAAAAGCCGCACAAGCCCCGGCCCTGGGAAGGAAATCAATCTCTCCAGACAGTTTGGTATTTCACGAGCTGCTAAAGCACCCACCTCCGGTAAGCGTAACGGCAGCGGCGGCGTGGGCTTGCCGGCTCTGACCCCACCGCACCCTCCAAGAGGAAGGGCGGCTTCGCTGAATGAGCCCAGGAGCAGGATTGCGGCCGTTATAAGAAGACAACTGAGTCAGCTCTGACAGCGACATACGCATGCATGGCGCATGGGAAACCATTCCAGTCCATCAAATGACCATTCACTTGCAGACTCCTGGGGTCAAATCTTAGCCAATGCAATTCATGCTTTTCTACAACTTAAGTTAAAGTTTTATATATTTTTGATGCAATAATGTTTCTTTGTCTGTTGCATATCAATGTAATTAAATGCTATCTTCGTTTCAAGGTGAGAAAAGTAAAAAAGAAAAAATACTCTTCAAGAGGAGCACATCTTCGATAGGCGTAATTAAAATAACAGCCAATTTCAAATCCTGTTTTCCCTAACCATTTTGTTGGAATTTTCCTATTTTGTGTGTTCTCCCATGTAATTTAATTGCTCGCTTCTGGTGTAAAGATGCGATTTGTTCGGTTAGAATCAGGTTTTTGCCATTATTTAATTGAGTAGTGTTATATCTGCAAATAATTGTGCTTAGGTCAGTGAGACTCGCTAGTTGTGGAATATGTATCACTCAGCATGAAAATGTGGCAAGTCCACGCGCTCGGGAGGCTAGCCATTGGCAGGGACACGGCTTCCTCTGTCTGCAGGTCCTCAAGCTGTGCTCATTAACGAGCAGTTGGAGACTTAATACATTTTGTCCAAAAGATGGTTGCCTCTTGAATTTCATCAGAAAAAGTGTCTTTATGTTAAGCATAATTTTTAGCCTCAAAGTAGACACGCTGGAGTTCCCTGTAAAATTGTTACACAGGAGGATCAGTATTCTTATTTTATACCTTGATACATGGACCTGTGGTTTGGTTTGGAGCAGAAGAAGCCCAGACCAGTCTCCGTCATCTTTGTTGGTGTGCAGACGCTGCAGAAGGAGCTGCTCTTCGAACAAGGCAGCTCTGTTGTTGGGGCAGTTTGTCTATGTGAGCACCGGGTGGGCAACAGGGACATGGTCTGAGATTTTACGTCCTGTGTGTTTTGGTCAGATAAGCCCAAACAGGGCCAGTCTGGTGATGGTAACAGGTTCTGGTGATATTAACGGGTTCTGGTGTCAGCCTGGCGGTCATCAGGCAAGGAGCGGTGATGAAGCAGGTCCAGCTCAGCCTGGCAAGTCCCTTGGGCAGAGGTAGACCCGGCTCAGGCGAGGGCTGGGGCTGAGCTCCCGGGCTGGCGGCAGCGGCACAGGGATGGGAACCCCGGGCACAGAGGCCATTCAGAGCTGCTGGTGCCTCCAGTGTCACCCTCTGGAAAGACCACCGTTCATCTTCTGAGAGCATCAGCTCTGGCTTGGACAGAAGCTTGGTGGAGGTAAGTTAGAGGGGAGCACTGTGGAGGCTCTCGGAGCGGGCGTATGAACAGCTGGATGACTGAAATTGCCTGCTCCTGTTTCACTTTTGGGACTGGGCTTGCTCTTCACTGGGAGTCACTGAGTTGGTTCGTCACAAGACATTTTACTTGTAAACCCAAATACGCTTATAATTGCACCGTGAACTCAACCTTCTCGTTATTTCTGAGTAATGAGAGAGTCCTCTATGTGACAAAATGAGAGCAGTAGGCTGTGTCTTCAATGCTGGGAAAAATTAGAAAAGCTTGTTGAATCCAATGGTGTGACGGGGAATACATTTTATTCAATAAAATCAGTGGAAGAAACGACCATTTTAAATTTAGCCTCTGGAGCTAGATTTGAAAACACACCTTGTCTTAGTCGACTTCTGTTCCCACTGAAACCATTAGTAACCCTCGCCTGATTTCAGTGGTAGCAGAGTTTATCCGAAGGCTCAAAATTCACAAATTCCAAAAGCAACAAAAAAATCAGTATGATAAGAGTGACTCTGGTAGCTGCTGCTGCAGAGCGACGGCGTAGGTACTCGGCAGCCGCCTGGCAGATTGGACGGACCTGACCTGACGCTCTTTTATGCACTGACCTCAAAGCAACTGTGAACAAAAAATCAGCTGACGGGGGTTGTTAGAATCAGAATATATCGCAAATACTGTCCCCAGGAGAGTATCGACTCACGTCGGTGGAGGTCTGGGTCTGGCACTTCACCTTGTCCAGTTTACACAAAGAGGATTATGCCCGATACCAATTGACTAATTAATGTCTCAAGCACAACCCAGATACCTGGGAAACCGTGGGAACTGTCTACGGGACTGGCTGGCCTTGCTCAGGGGTTTGTGATTTGCTTAAGGAGGTTGAAAATTGGAAATGTCAAAGATGTGAAAGCAGTTCCACTGAAACGCAAGCCTCGGGAAATTAATTTTTTAGCAATTCCACAAATGCAGAAGGAGGGGATGGGAAGCACTCCCCAAAGCCTATTTGGGGGATGGCCGGGTGGTTCCCGTCTCTGGTCGGTGGTGGTGCTGATTTTTTGTTTAGAAAAGATCCTGCCTTCTCCAAGCTTGAAAGTTGTTATTCCGCTGCCCACCCACAGTCTTTCTGTGCTGAACTAATAGACTTTTGTTGAGGCAGTTCTTAAAATTACCAGCTCCAGAGCTCTCTTATGTAGATTTTTCACAAAAATTTTTAGATGATCTTCAGTTGTATTTTACAGTCTTATGAGAATTTTTAAATAACGTAAATCCAGTAAATGCTATACATAACTTTACGCCCTTGTATAACTATGGAACAGGCATCACGGTGAACCCTGCGGTAGCTGATGTCGTAATCTGGAGTTTAATACCGGAATGCTTATATCGAAGAAAAGGTGGGACGTGTACCTGCGGACCGTTCTGCTGGCTGGAGATCGCCACCGGTGCTGAAAGCAAAGCCGGAGCACGGAGGTGGAAAGCAACCTCTCCCGCTCCAGTTCGTCCCTTCTGCAATGGAGGGTCCCCAGTTCCGTGCTGTGACGGCCGTCCCTCCCGTGTGCTGCTGGGGCCGTGCAAACAGGTCAGATGTTTTACATCTGGGCTCTTGTCCGCCGCTTTGGTGTTTGTGTCCTGTAGCTGCAGCAGTAGTACAGAATGGCTGTGTGGTCGTAAATCAGAAAGAGAGGAGTAGCACGTAAAATGATGAGAGCAGTCACAGAAATAACGTTTCTAGCGTGAGGGAGTGTATAAATCATGGATCCAAACCAAGTCAAGAACAAATATTTCCCTCGTTTCCCCTCCCTCACAGAAACGCAGAACTCCTGCTGCTAAGCAATAAGCAAAATATATAAATGTCAGGAAACATTTTTAACAACTTTAAAAAACACCTAAATTAATTTCCTATAGTCAAGGAAAGTTTGCAGAGTATTTCTCGTAATGGGATGAAACGCACCAGCAGAAAGTACCACGGAGAATGTAGACACCTAATTATATCACCACATTTTCAGGAAATAAAACTTCCTGGAGGCCATACATCTTGTCGAAGCGGTGTCATTTGTGGATGGGTTTTTCGTATGCTGGACCTTGCACTCTGCGACTCATGGCACAAGGGAATACTAAAAAAACCTCCAAGCTTGAAACAAATCTGCCTCTGTGGGATCCTGACCCGCTGGCTGTAGGCAGTAAGCCATCCGTTCGCTTCTCAAGGTTACAAGAAAACATCCCATGGCAACGGGTTGTCTCGTTCTTGCCTGATGCAAAGGCTTCTGTTTCCTCCTTGACAGAGCTGATATTGTTGCCTGGTGGAGAATAGTAGTTCGTACAGTCCTAAATCTTTCCATAAAGTATTAATCCCACTAGCAGGCTGCCAGATTGCATCCAATGCGCTAACACACTGTGTTACTACCAAATTTATCCGTTTATTTTTATCCAGTAGTCTTCCAGAGAAATCTCAAATCTTTAGTGTCTTACTATTAACGGGAGAGAGTCTACGCGCGGTGGCTGAGCACGGCATTAGTGGGAGGAGGCAGAAGCGCGTGGGTGCAAGCGGCGAGGGGACTGCCGTCACGCTCGTGGGTTTGTGGATGGGAAGAGGAGACCGTGGCGAGGTCGGTGCCCTGCCAGGCCCTGGCAAGGCTGAGCTGGGCGTTGTGGAGCCGGCCCTGCCCGGTGCTTGCCCTCTCCAGCCTGCCCACCAGGTCAAGCCCAGTTCCTCTGGGCACGAAAGTATGAGTCAGTAATGTTGGTCTGATGCTTTAGAGAAGGCTTCATGTGAGCATCAGACACCATTTGTGGTTTGGCCAACTGTCTCTTTTTGAGTGCAAGACCATCATTATTCATGGGGAAAGCGCATATGTCTGTGTGGGATGGGAGGGGAGGTACAGGGCACTATCCAGAGCCAAGGTGGGTCAGGGCGAGTGGAGCCATCACAGCGTGTCTGGCATACAAAGCAACGGCAGAGTCCTTTTGGGATGCCTCAAACTTCTGCATGTGCTTCCCTCACTACAAGAAGGACATTAAGCTGC